CTCTGCCAACAGCCCCCAAACCCATCTCCCGCTGGAAAGAGACCTAAGCTCAAGAGTACAAGCCTGATCCAGGAGCCACACCAATTCTAGAACAAGAGAGATGACATATTATGTTCTTTCTCAAGGTCTCTGGATACGCTCTCTGTCTGGCCAGTGGTTTTCAAACCTGGTGGCATGTTGGAATCCTGAAACAAACGGATGCTCGGGCTCTACCTAATTCAGTGAGAACATCCAGGGAGTCAGGCCCAGGTTCTGGCGGTTTGTACAAGCTCCACAGGTCAGTTTACTATGAAGCCAGGGTTACGAGGTCACTGGTATGAGCCCTGAAGCCCCAGGTGCGGACATAGCTGAGAGCTCCAGTGAAGTCACTGGACGAGGCAGCTGTCCTTCAGCCTGATGTGTGTGTCTCCAGACAAACAAGGTGTCCTGCTCCAACACGCCCAGCTGAAAATATACGGCCTGCCCCAGGGAGAGGTTCGGAAGGTGTGTGAAACCCCCTGGATTCACAGGCTCAAGTCTGTGCAGGTGGGCATATTCCATTTTCCTGGAAACAGAGTCCTCAACTTTCACTAGACTCACTTTGTTTTCTCCCTGTGTGAGTGCTAGTTGCTCAGTCGTGTCGGACTCTCTGTGACCCCGTGGATGGTAGCCCACCAGGCTCCTCTGTTCATGGGATTCTCCAGACAAGAATACTGGAGTGGGTAGCCATTCCCTTCTCCAGGGGATCTTTCTGACCCAGAGATGGAACCCAGGTTTCCCACGTTGCAGGCAGATTCTTTACCATCTGAGCTGCCAGGGAAGCCCACCTTCTCCCTACTCCTTGTTTTACCCATCTGTCACTCACACGCAATGTCGGCCTCCTGTTCTGCTCTCTGTGGAGGGAGCCATCCTTACCTGTAAGATAGGCTGAAGTATACTTTTTTGTTTTGTTTTTTTGTTTATTTTGTGTGCAGAGAAATATCAATAACCTCAGACATGCAGATGATACCACCCTTATGGCAGAAAGTGAAGAGGAACTAAAAAGCCTCTTGATGAAAGTGAAAGAGGAGAGTAAAAAAGTTGGCTTAAAGCTCAACATTCAGAAAACCAAGATCATGGCATCTGGTCCCATCACTTCATGGCAAATAGATGGGGAAACAGTGGAAACAGTGTCAGACTTTATTCTTTTGGGCTCCAAAATCACTGCAGATGGTAATTGTAGCCATGAAATTAAAAGACGCTTACTCCTTGTAAGGAAAGTTATGACCAACCTAGATAGCATATTAAAAAGCAGAGACATTACTTTGCCAACAAAGGTCCATCTAGTCAAGGCTATGGTTTTTCCAGTGGTCATATGGTCATGTATGGATGTGAGAGCTGGACTGTGAAGAAAGCTGAGCACTGAAGAATTGATGCTTTTGAACTGTGGTGTTGGAGAAGACTCTTGAGAGTCCCTTGGACTGCAGGGAGATCCAACCAGTCCATCCTGAAGGAGATCAGTCCTGGGTGTTCATTGAAAGGACTGATGTTGAAGCTGAAACTCCAATACTTTGGCCACCTCATGCGAAGAGTTGACTCATTGGAAAAGACCCTGATGCTGGGAGGCATTGGGGGCAGGAGGAGAAGGGGACAACAGAGGATGAGATGGCTGGATGGCCATCACCAACTCTGTGGACATGAGTTTGAGTGGACTCCGGGAGTTGGTGATGGACAGGGAGGCCTGGCGTGCTGCGATTCATGGGGTCGCAAAGAGTCGGACATGACTGAGAGACTGAAGTGAACTCATTTATAATTTACAGAGACTGTGCTCTTATTTAGTGTTGTCCTGTTGGCATGTGCTCAGTAATCCACTGCTGCCTGCCGCACCTGATTCCCCAACAGTGGCCTGCACGGAGCACCCCCAGCTTTCTACCTCTCCACTTCCCCAGTGACGGACGCCCCCGGGGTTTCCAGCCCTCCTCAGCCACAAGCAGAGCTGCTGTGCACATCTTCTCTATGGCCCCTTCTGAAGCTGGGAGAACTTCTTGGGAGCTACAGTTGGCCCTCTGGATCCGTGGGTGGAACTTGTGGGTTTGGGGGCCAATTGCACTACTCATTTTACCTAAGGGACTTGAGCACGTGTGAATTTTGGTATCTGAGCATGCATGCTTAGTCGCTCAGTCATGTTTGATTCCTTGTGACCCCATAGACTGTAGCCCGCCAGGCTCCTCTGTCCATGGGATTCTCCAGGCAAGAATACTGAAGTGGCTTGCCATTCCCTTTTCTAGGAGATCTTCCCCACCCAGGGATCGAACCTCGGTCTCCCGCAAAGCAGGCAGATTCTTTACCATCTGAGCCACTGGGGAAGCCCTGGGTATCTAGGGGGGGGGTGTTCTGAAACTCATCCCTGCAGGTACTGAGACGCACTGGCTGTAAACCCAGAAGGGGAACTGCTGGGTCACAGCGGGTGTAGACCCTCCTTGATTAGGAGGGCTGCTCCGGCCTTCACTGGATTCCTCCAGTGATCTGGGATGCACGCCCCCGAGTGTAAACACTATCGGCTAATGGCTGGGCTGGGCCGTCAGTGCCGCGGGCCTTCTCTTTTCCTTTTCCCGGCTCTGCCTTCTTTCCTGTTGCCTGCAGCAGCTGTACCTACTGAACCTTCACCACCATCCTCAATCTCTTGTCCTGCTTCAACTTCTTTTTTCACAGACAAAACAGAGGCCATCTTTAAGGTGCTCCCTCTGCTTCTAAATGAATCAGCGCCAGTCCATCTTGCTGTGTTTCTCTATTCCGCCTTCCTTCCGGGCCCCCCTCCCTCTGAGGGTCCCCACTGCCCAGCTCCCCGGAGCCTTGCTGGGTCAGCCTTTCCCTTGTTCTGTTCCCCATTTTCCCGCCTGCTCTGTTTGTCCCCCCTTGCTCCCCTCCATAGCTTGCCTCTGCCTGCGGCCTACAGGCTTGACCAGTCCTCCCGCCGGAAACAAACCTCTGTTCTCCTCAGGATACTTCCCGTTTCCCTTCCGCAGAAGTCTTGCTCCTCTCGGCTCTCTGAGCACGATGCGGGCCCTCCCTCATTTGCTCAGGTCCTTCTCAGCTGCTCCTTCCCTCCTTGAACCCAGTTCCAGCCCTTTGAGCTGCCAACTCCCCCGGGGCACTTCCTTCTGCTGCCTCCAGCTTATTACTTTTTAAGTTTTTGAAAACAAGCTTTATTTATTTGACCTCTTTTTCGAATTTTTGGTACCAAAGAACTCATTTGCAGGGCAGCAATGGAGAAACAGACATAGAGAACAGAAGAGGGGGAGAGAGGGTGGGATGTATGGAGACAGTAACTTGGAAACTCACAGCACCATATGTAAAATACATAGCCAAGGGGAATTTGCTGTGTGGCCCAGGAAACTCAAAGAGGGGCTTTGTATCAACCCAGAGGGGTGGGATGGGGAGGGAGATGGGAGGGAGGTTCAAAAGGGAGGGGGCATATGTGTACCTATGTCTGATTCATGTTGAGGTTTGGCAGAAAACAACAAAACTCTGTAAAGCAATTACTCTTCAATTAAAATATAATTATATTAAAAAATTTTTTTGGCTGTACCTTGTGGCTTCCCTGGTGGCTCAGATGGTAAAGAATCTGCCCGCGACATAGGACACCTGGGTTCGATCCTTGGGTTGGGAAGATACCCGGGAGAAAGGAACAGCAACCCACTCTAGTATTCTTGCTGGGAAATCCCTTGGAGAGCCTGGTGGGCTACAGTCCATGGAGTCGCAAAGAGTTGGATGTGACTAAGTGACTAACACTTGTGGCATATGGGATCTTAGTTACCTGACTAGGGATTGAACCTGCACCCCCTGCATTGGAAAGCAGCCTTAACCACTGGACCACCAGGGAAGTCCCTCCTGCCTATTTCTTTGTAGCATCTGACGCCACTGACAACTTGCTTCTGGGAGCCATCTCCCCTCTTGGCTTTCCGGCTGGTCTTTCCTGGTGGTTCTCCTCTCTTCTCAGCTCCCTCCCCTTCTTTCTTGAAAGCTTCCCCTAAGTTTCTACCCTCAAGGCCCTTGTACTTCAGCCTTTTTCCTTGAGAGAGCTTGTCCCCTTCTCACACTTCCTTGAAGCATTTATAAACATATGATTCTCAAACCTGGAGCTCATTTTAATTCAACAAATACTTTTTGAAAATGTTCTGTGTGCTGCGATGCGGAGTCACACATGACGTCTGAGAGTTCGCAGTCTAGAACCCTTTCTTTTAAACTCTAGGCCCACACGTCCAGCGGTGTTTTCTGTTTGCAAACTCTGTTTGGAGCTTGAGGACATGCGCTGAATTTAGGCATTAGCTGCAACAAATGATGCACCTCTAGGCTTTTTCTAAAGGGTCCAGAGCACAGGCTTTGCTGGACAACCTGTCAACAAATGGTGCTGCCTGTTCTCCTTCTGGCCAGGAGAGCACATCAGAGGTGTCTGGGTCACAGGACATGCGTGTGTATACACGTCCTATGACCAAGAAGTACAGGGCAGCTCTCCAGAGCCGCTGGAGGGCCTGGAGTTCTAAGATGTGGCGTTTGGTCTGTGTTGTTTAGTCACTAAGTCATGTCTGACTCTTTTGTGACCCCAAGGACTATACAGCCCACCAGGCTCCACTGTCCATGGGATTTTCCAGGCAACAATACTGGAATGGGTTACCATTTCCTTCTCCATTTGGACTGTAAGCACTTTTTTTCCCCCTTGCCTTTGCAGCAGTGAAATAGCGATAGAGTCCCAGGCTGCTGGGAATTAATGTCAGATGAAAGAACTGTATGCAAAGTGCTGTTGTATACAGCCCCTGTTCTGACGTTGCTGATGACCCAACTGTACTGGGATAATGAGGCTTAACACATGGAAGAGAAGGGTACCAGGCTGAACGCAACTCAACCAACGTGAAGCTGCACATACCCTGGGCCCTTTGCTCAGAAACTGGACTGGGCGGATGAGAGAGGGCAGAGCAGCAAGTTTTCTGGAGGCTGGCCCGGCGAAGCCTTGGAGGACCAGCTGCTCTCCGCGGCGGCCTTACCTCTGCTTCAGAATCTGTTTGTTGTCTTCGATGGTAACGCTGTCAGCATGGTCCCTCTTGAAAATCTCAAAAGCCTCCTGGCGTCCTAACGACATTTCCTCTCTCATCCCTGTTTGGAGACACAAGGAAATGGCCTCAGTGACGGCATGGCGGTCCCATTAATTCGGCTGTCACTTTAGTCAGAACTCAGCAGAGAGGCTCCTGACCAGGAGGTGGCCCCAGGCCAGGCCCCAGGCCCTTCCAGCTGGCCACTGCCACCCCAGGAGGCGGCCCTTCCAGGGACACCCGCTGTGACCTGCGGGGCCTGAGCCGGGGCCTCCTCGTGACTCTTGCGGGGCGGAGTCTGGAATGTCTGGTCAGAGGAAATGAAAACCAGAGCCCCAAGCCTTGGATGGCTGGGGACATCTGCCAAAGCACTTTTGGCCATCACTCGGGGCCACATTTCTCCCCATTCTCCTGTTCTGCCCCATTTGGGTTTTCTGTTAAATTTCACCCTGAATTTTCAGGCATCCACTTAAAAGAAGTATGGTCCCAACTGAAAGACTTAGAATCTAGAAAATTCTGCCCTGAGCCTCCATGGAAGAACCCATTCTTGTTTCCTGGGTCTAGCGAGGGACCCCAGTTCTCACTCCAGAGTGAGGTTCTCAATCACAAGACCCACGGGTGGACGGCGGTGGAAGTTCCTCGTTCACAACTAACTTCAATCTCCTGGGTCCCTGGAGCCACTACCAGCCGAGCGGGGTGGCTGGGCCCTGCTTGGTGGGGCCAGACTCTGAAAACAGAGTCAGAACAGCCAGGACCCTGGGAGTGAGCAGAGGGCATTCCTGCCCTGAGGCCTCTTCCTCGCAGCCTCTCAGGGTGAGGCTCCAGGCAGGTGTGGGGCCCCATGGTGAGGGCTGCTTGCACAGCTGGATTTTGGATGAATCTATGGAGTCGCTTTCTGCCTATGGCTCCCTTTGGTGTATTTTCATCCATTTAACTCTATCTTTGAAGCCCTGGCTGCGTGCCGCCACCTCCATGGAGCTTGCCGTGAGCCCCAGACTAAACAAATCCTCCCTCTGCTGTTTCTAGCAGTGCGTCTGTGACCTGCGCAGCCCAGCAGACACTGCCACCCCACGTGACAGGACTTTCTCGTGCAATGCACATCTCTCAGGAGGAAGAGATAATATGTTTCATGAGTCCCCAGTGTCTTGTTCAATGTCTGGCATTTAGAAGGTATACAACATATGTCTGTTAAATGAATCAGGTCAGGCATGAACCAGGAGTGATGCAGAACCTTGCTCTCATTGCCATGGGAACTAGGTCCCAAGCTAGAGGGGCTCCCTTGGGGTACGAGAGAGGTGTGTTCATATGGACCACGTGCCACATCTCCTTTAGCCTAGAAAAAACCCGCAGCGTTCCACCATTCAGCCCTGGGGTGAGGCACTGGACCAGCCCATCTGACACCAATTTAATGATTACTGTTGATAAAAATAGCACCGCGGAGAATGTCTGAATGGTGAGGCACAAGACACCCCACCCTTTACCAATCAGAAGCAAATGGGCTCGTCTCAGTCCTGTCTCCATGTCTGCCCTGCACACTCCCGAGTCGGGTGGGTCTGAGCCATGCTCGGAAAGATGAGCCCTGATGCTTGAGGGACATTAGCCGGAGGGTGCTTTGGCCCAGCAGAGCCTGCCAACAGCCAAATGATTCCTTCCACACTTTCCACCTCTTCCACTTTCCATGGACCCTAGTCCATGCCTGACTCTGACAGTGTATGCCCTTTTACTGCCTTACTTTTATGATTTATCATCTGTAGGAATTGTTTTAACCACAGAGGGGAGAGGACTGAATCTCTCTGGACTGCTCGTTGGAAAAGACCCTGATGCCGGGAAAGACTGAGGGCAGGAGAAGGAGGATGACAGAGCATGAGATGGTTGGATGGCATCGCTGATTCAATGACATGAGTTTGAGCAAACTCGGGGAGATGGTGGAGGGCAGGGAAGCCTGGTGTGCTGCAGCCCATGGGGTTGTGAAGAGCCTGACATGACTGAGCGACTGAACAGCAATCGGGTTGGCGAGAAGGAAACTCCACCAAGACCACACTTAGAACCTGTCTGCCTGTGGGACCCCTAGATTGCCTCCCACCCAGGAGGTGAAGAGTGGGCCTTCACCAGCCAGAGGCAGAGGAGGTGGGGTCAGGGTGGAGGGTTGTCCAAACAGCTGTAGAGAAGAAGGGCTCATGGCCTTTTCTCTCCCAGGCTCTGTGCTCTTTTGGAGCCAAGAGCCCAAGGTGACTGCTGGGTGCAAAGACCACGGCGAGGCTTCTCAGAGCCCGTGGCACTGATATGGTCATAGGTCCCGGAAGAACTTACAGTCAGCGGATTCCCTGAGGGGTGGAGGGGTCCTGGCAGGAGGGAGCAGGAGGGACAGGGGACTCTGGGAGGCGATAAGCCCAGAGGGTAGTTTGGGAGCATTTTGCAGAGAATTTGGAAGCTTGTGTTAAGAAAATTTGGGACTGGTGCCATGACATATTATACACAAATCATCGGTTTTCAGAGACTAGAAATTTAGTAAAGTACATATTATGGGATAGTTCCACTGGAAGCATTTGACACTTTCGGTGGTTTAAAAGGCACTTGGGGTCCTGCAGTACCGTGGCTTATTGTCAGGAACGTGGGGGACTGATTTTCCTCCAGCTACAGTGGAGGAAGATTCTGGGACTGGAGTTCTCTGATGGTGATGACCTCGGGTGAGTGGGCACGAGTAAGGGCTGATGGCTCCGGGAGGTCAAGGTGAGGTGGCGAGGATGCCCGTAGACCAAAGGCCAAGAGGCAAGGCCAGGCCTGAAGCCTCTGGGGGCTTCACGGCTTCGCCTGGAGGGTGAGGCTGGGTCCGCAGAGAGGGGCGTGTGGAAGGGATCCCACAGGCAGCTGCAGCGCGTGATCCTGGATCCATTTCACGCCTCCTCTCGTCCACCTCTGCCGGCTCAGAGCCTTTTGGACTGTGCTAATAGACCAGCTCTCACTCCAGTTTGGGGTCAGCTACAAAGTTAGGATAAAATAAAAAAGCATCTTTTTTATTTACAGAAGATATAGCCCCACCTCCCTTCCCTCTCAGGGTTTAGAGAACAGCTCTTTATGGTCTGGCGACCTCCCCCCCATCAGCGCTGAAAAGAGCAGGAGCTTCTCACCTCCTGCTAAATAAATAACGATTTATTTATTCTCTCAACAAGTATTTATTCATCTTAGGTGCTGTGCTAGGGATGTGACAGAGAGAGAAGCTGGAACAAGAAGATTAGAGCTATCGATCCTTGCCCTTAAAGAGTTCAAAGTTCAGTAAGGGAGAAAGGTGAACAAATAATTACAAAAGAAATCGCTGCTTGCTATAAGGCAGGCTTAGGTCTGGGAAACACGGAGGGAGGGAGGGCGGCCAGGTCTGTCAGGGGGAGCGCGGACAGTCCTGAAGATGGAGCAGCACTTGTCAGGTGGGGAAGTGGAAGAGATCCCGGGGAAGGAAGGGGCAGGAGGACTGTGGATTAAAAGAGCAACTAGAACCTCCATACTGTTCTCTACAGTAGCTGCATCAATTTACGTTCCTATCAACAGTGTAAGAGGGTTCCCTTTTCTCTACACTCTCTCCAGCCTTTATTATTTGTAGGTTTCTTGATGATGGTCATTCTGATTGGTGCGAGGTGACACCTCACTGTAGTTTTGATTTGCACTTCTCTAATAATTAGTGAAGTTGAGCATCTTTTCACCTACTTCTTGGCCATCTGTATGTTTTACAGACTGTGATACAGACTGAAGGAAGTCAGAAAGAGAAAAATAAATATCGTATATGAATATTAATGCATATATGTAGAATCTAGGAAAATGGTATAGATGAACCTATTTGCAAAGCAGAAATAGAGACACGGGCGCAGAAAACAAATGTATGGACACCAAGGGGGAAAGCAGAGCGGGATGAATTGGGAGGTTGGGATTGACACAAATACGCTACTGTGTATAAAATGGGGCTTCCCTGGTGGCTCAGCAGTAAAGAATTCCCCTGCAATGCAGGAGACAAAGAAGACTCAGGTTCAATCCCTGGGTCAGGAAGATCCCCTGGAGGAGGGCATGGCAACCCACTCCAGTATTCTTGCCTGGAGAATCTCACGGACAGAGGAACTTGGTGGGCTACAGTCCATAGGATTGTAAAGAGTAGGACATGACTGAAGCGACTGAGTGAGACCGATATATGAAATAGATAACTAGTGAGATCTTACTGTATAGCATAGACAATTCTACTCAGTTCTCTGTGGTGGACCTAAATGGGAAGGAAATCCAAAACAATGGGATATATGGACACACACAACTGAGTCACTTTTCTGTACAGCTGTAACTAACACAACTATACTCCAGTAAAGTTTTTTTTAAAAAGGGCAACTGGATTAATATCTGTGGTAGCGCCACCTGGTAGGAATTAATTTTTTTGCATATCCAATGCTAATCACGGTACCAAGTGCTTCCTTAAAGATTATCCCAGTTAAACTTCTGTGTGATCCCTGGTCATAATTTTATTTTACAGAGGAGGAAACTGAGGCTCACTCAAAGAAATGGTTATAAAGAGGGTAAAAAATTGCCCAGCTTATATAGGAAGGTAGATCTCCTCTTAGGCCAGTTTTTCCAGGGAAAAGTATGCCTGATAGAGAAAGGCAGGTGCTGGGCTCTAAGTGACCTGGTAGCAATAGATTTACCTATGAGCTCTTATTAGTGCCCATCTTATCTAAAATTCTGGATTCTTTGTTTTACAGTATCATTGAAGAAACAGAACCACAAGTTCTGTTTACTCTTCGCATAGTTGGCTTCATATTAACAAATATGTTCTATTGGTATTTCTAGAGTTGTGAGGTCCAGGAGGGAGGGGATTTTTGTCAGTTTGGTTTGCTGCAGTATTACTAGCACCTGGATAGTACCTGGCACATCAGTGGAACTCAATCAAATAACTTGCTTTTTTTTTTTTTAAGATTTTTTTTGATGTGGATCATTTTAAAAGTTGAATTTGTCACAATTTTTTGCTCCTGTTTTATTTATTTATTTTTTTGGCTGAGAGGCATGTGGGATATTAGCTCCTCGACCAGGGATGGA